GTGGGGCTGTTTTGCTGCCAGTGCTACTAGTACATTGCACAAAATGGATGGAGTAATGAAGAACAAGGGAAATTCTTCAACTTCACCTCAAACAGCTCAACAGCTGAAACTTGGACACAAGTGGATATTACAACAGGAGAATGTTTAGAAAAAGCAAACATCAAAACAGGATTTGGAACAGATAAAGCAGGCTTACATTAAGCCTTTTCTTCACAAAAACTGAAACTTCAACCCACTGTGCTTAGAAGCTGTGCCGTGGCAAGAAACCAACCAATCTATGTGACATTTAACCAAATATTAGTGGGAGCATATGTCATGGTACTGGGCCTGTGACCCAGTGTTTTGGGTTTTTGGATTAAGTTATATTATTTGATTTGTTGTTTTTCACATTTTTGGTTCTCTTTATCATTTTCTCCTTGTGCTATATTTTTAGTTTTCTGTCACTGTGCCTTCCATATTCCACGGTTAGTTACTCTTGTCTCTGTGTTTCTGGTTCCCTAGTTAGTCATGCCGCCATGTCACCAGTGTTGGGTAAGTTACTTTAAATTAGTAACTTAGTTACATTACTAGTTACTTCTATCAAAAGTAACTCAGTTACTTCAAGTTACTCATTACTTTCAGAGTAACTAGTTACTAGGGAAAGTAACTTAGGGAAAGTTGCTTAGGGAAAGTTGCTTAGGGAAACTTAGGGAAACCTAGGGAAAGTAACCACGAGAGAAATCCCACACCTGATTCTATCCAAGCCTGCTTTTTACATCCAACACAAAAACTACAGTCGTGGTGCTTTCGATTGTACTCAGAACTCAGAAATTCTGCCTTCTGAATAGGAAGATGTAGGTAACACCAGACTGCAGATGAGCTGCATACAGAGCTGGACTGGGACAAAAAAATCGTCCCGGGCATTTTGACTAGAGACCGGCCCACCATTATAGGAAAAATCATAAAGCCTTTGAAGGAAAATAAATACTGTTGTGACAGTGATGTACACTGTTCTGATGGTATATATGTATCAATCTATCAATTGTTTGTTGTAAGACTCAGATAATTATTTTTTTAAAAGTGAGACATTTTAAATGAGAATAAGAAAAGTATTTCCTTGGGCCCCCCTTTCCCTTTTAATGCCCTACATGGACCCCTGGCAACACTTTGCTAGACCCGCCCCTGCAGAGTTACCAGCTGTCAGCTACTTAGAAAAGGATCCTGGTGTTATTTGTCTCTCAGAAACAGTTCATAACTTCCCTTCAACTCATTCATGTCACCTAAAAGGTAAACCTGTTTCTCCATCACAGCTCTGATGATTCAGTCAATCTCCTGGTTTCATCTTCATGTTTCCCTCTCACCACATAACCAAACCGATATCATGACCAGCAGCTTTACAGCTGTGGCTCCAGCAAACATCAGCTGACACTAGAAAATAATATTAAATAAATTCTAACAACAGCTGATCAAGCTTAAAAGTGCTGCTGTTGTTTATCACAACATCCGCTGGTTTCCTCTTTCTGGCGCAAAGTGGGCGATAAATAAACGAGAGAAAAGCCGATCAGCTGATCATTGATCAGTTTCATGTTTGAAGTAGAAACAGGAGAGGGAGGGTGAGAGGATGAGAGAAGAAGAGGCAGCTGCAGAATAACTCCCTCACAAAGCTGCAGCTTTGTGTCTTTTTCATTCTAGCTGAAGTCCGGGACAAACTGTTCATTTTCACCTCAATACGAAACGCATAATATTTTCTCTGAATACGAGACGATTCCGTTTTTTAGGGGATGGTTGGCAACTCTAATAATTAACCTTATGAACAAAATAAAGTTCAACATCAGTAACATACCACCCACCCAGCTGTATAGAAACTTCGTCATGCTAGCTAGCACGCAGTACGAAAAAGTCAGCATAACGAAAATAAACTCCACCTAAACTTGGTTCATATCTGACCCAGATAGACTGCAGGTCATAACTTCTTACCTGAAGTTCAGTTCACCTGACACTCTCGGACCAGCGGCCGCTTCGGGTCTCTCCTCTTGCCTCCCTTTTCCTTCATCCACCTGCTGGCCTCCACCACTTGCTAATGTTATTGAATCTGTGGAAGCTCCGCGATAGCCACCACACGAAGTAACGAATAACACGCCTATCTAAATCCCAGTAACGAGTAACGCGTTCCCGGTTTTGGCATAATAACTAGTTACCGTGCTCGTTACCACAATAATAACGTAGTTACTGTAACGCGTTACTTAATAACGCGTTAGTCCCAACACTGCATGTCACAGTGTGAAGTCAGTTTCTTTGTGTAGGTCTCTTGTTTCCTGTTTTACTTTGACAGTCTCAGTGTTTTCAGTTTTGCTTCCTTCCTGTCTCATTTTGTCAGATTAGTCCCAGCTGTGTTTCCCTGCCGTTTCCCATTCCTTTGTTACACCCTTGTGTATTTAAGTCCTGTGTTCTCCTCTCCCGGTTGTCATGTCATTCCCATTTGCTGTGTATGTTTCTCCGTGCTCACCATTTCCCTGGTTTCTTCAGAGTCTGCTCCTAGTTCCTTAGTTTTCTAGCTTTTCTGTTCTTGTTCCTAGTTTCCAGTTTTAGGTTTTGTTTCTTGTATTCTGTATGTTAGTTTTCTTCAACACAATAAAGCTGCCTCCCTTAATTCATCCCTTTGTGTTTTGCGAGTCCTGTGTTTGGGTCCAATCCTGCCTGCCACACAGTGTGACATGACAGTATAAGTATATATTTGACCATTTGTGGATTAGAGAAAATCAAAATTTTAAAAAATAAAAAATCTAACTTGTGCACCCAATTCTTTTTTTTTAAATTAATTAAAGATGTATGTTGTACAATCATCCCACTATGTAAAAAACAAAAACAAAAAACAGCTCAACAAATTCATACACTGTAAATCATATAGTGTATAAAAGTTTGACCACAACTTCCTGCTTTCATATTAAAATATATATATATATATATATGTGGATTACTTCAATGTAGTTGTACATGGCCAAGTCAGCAATTGCGTGGTCGTCTGGAACCCGAACTCTGGTATACTCAGGCAGAACAGCACCTAGCGGGATACACAAAGGGCCGTATGGAAATTATTCTGTATGCTCAGCTTTTCTCTCTTCGTTAATCTTTGGTCATTTAAAAAGTGCTTACTGAAATCCTCATTGAATTGATCCATTATCTCGTCAAAGACAATGCAGTCCTCAAAGCCCTATAAAACATGAATAGATGAATTAGTCTCTGTCTAATTCTGCCTTTTCCTCTCCTCATTTAGTGCTACTTACAGCATTCATTCCTTGTCCATAGAAAGGCACTACTGCATGGGCTGCATCACCCATAAGGACGCACGTGTCACCAATGTGATATGGGTTGCATTTGACAGACACCATGGCCTGCGCAGGCAATCGGAAATAATCTCTCCGGAGAGTATCCCTGCAACACAAAAATTGAAATTCAAGAATTACAAACTCATTTTGCGCAATTTAATCTGACAGTTGCAACAGACTGTTTTGTGTTTGCCAAAAGAGCATTTATCACAAGACACAAACACAGCTATGCTCTGTCTGTCTAACTAAGCAGCTAAACTGAGAAATTAAAGCAGGCACTTAGCCGTTTATGCCTAAACACTGTGAATGAGTAACTGAATGAAAGCTTCAAGCGTTTCTGCACCTCACACAGCCCTCCACCTCTGTCACCCGCAACATATGGTTCACCTCAAATTAGAACCTCTCCTCACAAAATCCATGTAACTGTAAGTCTGCAATTTCACACTTCACAGAACAGAGCTGTGGATGTGGCTGGAGCTGATGGGATGACGGGAAATAAAAGGCCTTTTGAAGACACTTTGGCAGGTCGGATGAAGAGATAAAGGCAGAGTGCAAGGACAGAGGAGGCAGAGATGAGAGACGGGGGATTCAGGGAAATGGGTGGGGAGGGAGAAAGTCACTTACGCTCCTATTAGTGGTATGGTGTCAGGGAAGTATTTCTGGAAAAACTCGATGACTTCATCTCCTGTGGTGATCTTCTCAAAATCTTCAAAAGGCATGAAAAGGGTACAGGTGAATGTCTTGTCCTAAATCAGAAAGTAAACAGAGTACACAGAGACGTTAGCTCCCAAATCCATCGTGACACTCTTGACAACAGGATGCTTCACATGATTAACCTTTTACCGCCCGTTGTTCCAGCAGAGATACATGAGCACTGAACTGTTAGCATCACGCCAAGTTATACATCCAAATGAAAGATTAGACTGTTGTGTGGTCTCACTAATTTTGGCACATTGGGGGGAAAAAAGGAGATTCAAACTATGCTAACAGCATACTAACAGGCCAAAATAAGTACACCTTTATTACAACATCAGTAAATGTAGGCGATTACCATAAAAACAAAGTACCCAAAGCACTTATTTTGCAGAATGGTCAGTTTCAGAATAATATCTAATTATCTTCTGTATTTATTATTTATGCTAATGCTGCTGTTAATGTGAGTTTAACTGCAGGTTTTACACTGCCAGCTATGCATTGAACTTTTTAATAATATGGCTTTAATCATCTAAATCTGGAAAATAGACCAGCTAAATAAACATAGATAATTATAGTATATTGATAGCAATAATAATGATTAACATTCAATTATCAAAAGATGTTAAAGTTTTAAGCATTAGCATAATGTGTCTCCTTATGTAACAGTACAGTTAAGGACGAATGTTATTAGTTTTACTGATATTTGGTCGTAAAGCATTAGTTAACATGCTTGTGTTTTAATCTGTGTTGTCCTCTGGGACATAGGAAGAGATGTTTCTATAAAGAAATACCATTAGTCCATAAGGATTGTTCTTTCTTTTTTCCATTCCCAGAACTCTTTCATGGATTGCCACTGAATAGTAGTTTCAGGGATATTCTACTTAAAGTGATTGGCCAATGAACCTACAAACTCCCCAACAAGGATAAATTCTGCTACCATTTGGTGTCACCAGTTTGGTGGTGACAATTAAGTCATGCAACTGTGATATAGTTTTCTAATGTTAGCATTTTACTAATGATAATTTCATTTAGGCTTCAATAAAAGTTGAGCTATTTTTGAAGACTTTTCTAAACCAAAAGGTAAAAGTGTTGTTGCTGTTGACCCCTCTGTGACCCTGATAAGGATAAGCAGAAGAGGATGAATGGATGGACGGAATGCCAACTTCCCTGGCATGTACAAAAAAGAAAGAATTCTTAAGTTAATGCAGAAACTGTGTAATGAGGAAAGGTAACAGCCATTGTGATTTGCATGTGATGTACATGTACATATTTAGTGGGTCTCAATAAAGTTCCTGTTCCTTTTTGGAAGCAAGTTCAAGTAAAAGTAAGATCAAGAAAAACTGAAGGCCACTGTGTTTATTCCTCCTTCATCATTATCGTTCTGGTTGAAGTAAACAAAATCACTCACACATTGCATACCACACAGTACACAAATGACAATATAATCAACACAGTTTGATTATTAAAAGCCTTAAAAACATTCACCTTAAATTCATCACAAATGTTTAATGAAAAAAAATGAATTAGGCAGATGACACTAAAACATCAGGCAGTTAAACGGGTACCTCACACACTAAACACTTGCATAAAGTGAATCACATCGCTTTCCAGATTGCAAGTGTCAGCAACTTTGTCTAAATGCTTCAGTGGGTTTCCAGAGATGCACGGCCATTCCAACGCTTGAGTACCCAAAGCGTTACCAAAAAATTAGCATCCTGGTGCATATAAGGCAGAAGGATGCAGCATTTAAAGTTTAAATAGATTTTTTACTTGATTGTATATGTTTGATTCACACTAATATCTATGGGCAATTTAGAGTTTCCAATTAACCTATCCCTACTAACTAACTGCATGTCTTTGGACAGTGAGAGGAAGCCGGAATACCTGACGAGAATCCACGCAAACATGGGGTGAACGTGCAAACTCCACACAGAAAGAGCCCAGCCTGATGGTGGAAATAAACTCAGGACCTTATTGCTGTGAGGCAACAGTGCTAACCACCGTGCCACAGTGCTGTACCCCGCCGCTTGCCCTAAGACAGCTGGGATAAGCTCCAGCCACCCCCCCACCCCCACGCGACCCTGAAAAAGGATAAGCAGAAGAGAATGGAAGGATGAATTTATATGTTTGAGAAATCTTCCCTGCTGATCATAGTTTAGAATTTTCCATCCTCAGTGTAAACGTAATGCCAGACACCACTGGATGGAAGTTCACTGAGGTTGTGTATGTGCCATTATCTGTCCTTCTGAGCAGGTGTCATCTATCAACATCACAAAGTCCTCCCCGTGGACATTTTAGCACTGTTACCATGGTATCCACAGCAGGGAAGACAATTTTTTTCCACAGCCATGTGAAATGTGTTTCTGGGAAATGGGGAGTGAGTGACAGTGTGAAGGAACTCAAAAGTCAGTTGCCTTAACCTAGTCTCCTTTAGGTGAGGAAAAGAGTTGTGCTGATTCAGCCACGCAGACAAATCATTATGGGATTAACCAGATAAAGGAAAGACAGAGAGTGTGTGAGTCAGAGAAAAAGATGCAGAGGCACAGGTGGGAAGGAGTGCAACACTGCTGTGTGAAAAGTAGGGTGAACCTCAGGGTGCCAAGATACTTCTGATGAGTAAGCCTCACTTCATAGTTATGAAGTGAGCCTAATTAACTCCATGAGGACATCCCAGAGGTCAGTCAAGCTCTGAAATTTGCTAGTGTTTGTTTCCTTTAGCTTGCCACATAATATGCAGTAGTAACTTTACAAATAAACAAATCTTGAATTTCTTAATTCACTGATATAGTTTAGAAATCAGTTCACACTTACCAAGTTGGGCAGGGCGATCATCATAAATGTGTTTCGTGGCCAGATGTGTAGATAATTAGGCTTCATAGCAAACTGGGGATAATGAAGACAGCCAGCAGAAATTAAATGAGCAGAAAGATAACTACCACTGCAGCTGAATTTTGCTGAGCCAAATACTAGAAGCGTGCTGACCTCTCCATTAATGGGTAGCATGGTGAGCTCCATGTAGCCATGAGGGATGTAGGTCTGGCTATAGTCGAAGCGGCTACGTCGAAGGAACTGCTTGCGTATGGCAGAGAAAGCCCCATCACACCCCACAATCAAGTGTGCCTTGACCTGCTCCTTGGACCCATCCAACCTGAGAAACACATTAGCAACATGACAAGTTAACTTCATTAAAAACTAAGTAACATAGAGGTTATTTTTAAAAATTAACTGCTTTAATGATTAAGCCACAAAGTTCCTAATTACACAAAAAATACCCATAAGAATTGAATCATGTAATGAGCAAAGGCTTACTGGAAGCAGTGTCCTATCGCGTACAGAGCTGTCACTGCTTGGCTTTATAGAAAGCCTCTCGTTTCTGATACTTGAGAAAATAAGGTAACTGCTCAGCCTCGAGGCTATTAGCTTAAGGTCTGAATGAGACACAAATGAACTACTGACTCAAAGCCTGAGTTGACTTAAACTGTATCTTCTTGAATGTTCCATTAGATACAGCAGATATATATTAAATTTACAATGTTAGAATGTCACTATTTTTATAATCAAAAGCCACATAATGATCATTTAGTGGTCATTAAAAACTTACTTAGATGAATGATGGTAAAAGATGGTTGCGTTTTTGCCGTCACCTATAAAAGCTGCTGTACAGAACAAGAGTCACACAGTCTGGTGTGCTATATGCAAAGATTTTTCTCTTTAGTTCCAGACCTTACATACGATCACAGATCCGATGCTGCTCACAGGACAGCATGTGTAGGTGGATGCTGCTGCATCTGTCAAACTCAAAGTTAACTACCTCTGAATATTTTCTTGGCAACCCATCTGCGTATTTAATGATGCTTGCAGAATACAAAATTATGTTTAGTACTGCCAAATTGCTTGAGCACCATACACCAGTAAATAATGTGACAGAATGTAATTTATTTGGGTGCATTTAATTATTTTTTGGCCCATATGTATTCATTTGTTTCAGGTGACTTCTTCTGTAAAGCAGTGCATCATTGCTTGTGGTGGAAACATACTGAACTGCCTGCTGCCTAAGTCTGAACTGGGTCTTTAAAAACACTAAAGTCTGCCTAAAATGAGTGCATGCAAGCTAAGTTAGCTGCCCAGGAGACTGGAATTGATGGGGTCCTAAAGCTAAGTTAACCTTAATCTAGTTAAAGTTTAGCAGGTTCAACTTAATGATAACACTTTATAATATATATAGCCTGGTTTGATTTAAATAGATTCCTTGGTCTCTAACTACATCTTAGAAAATCTTTCTGGCAGAAAGTTCTGAAGACAACATTTCAGTTTTTGTCCATCTATTCAGAAAAAAAACAGTTAGCTTATTACTTTATTATTAACAACACACACGACTGACAAATATTTCATTACATGTTAGATGTGTTTTCTCAAGAATTAAAGTGCTTGACCAATCAAAGCTGAGGTGGAGTACATAAACCCTCAAAACCAAAAAAATCTTGATAATACAAGATTTCTTTTAGATAT